TTTTTTTTTTAAAATGAATCTTGCGACAAGAATAATCGAAATGAATTAAACATCTCGTTTCGACGATTCGATTTTTCTATCTCTTCGAGGGTCTCGAATTATTACCGCGTTTTTCAAACCGTTACGTTCCAGTGTTTTGTATGCCGGAGTGTTGACAGCCATTGTTGCTTCGCGCCACCGGAACCGTCGAACTTGCACTCCAGACTTGGTTCCATGAATCACGCGGCATAATTATTGACTCGTAATTGACGTAATCCCTCATCGATCGTTGTTTGGTCAATGACACGATTTATTATTATTCGGTTCATCTTCGATAAATCAAGAATTCAATAATTTGCAGGTTCGAAGTGCAAGTGTGTGTTTCGTAAAGTTTGGAGGAAATAATAATCGGGTGTGCACGTGTTGTATCTGAACTAAGGTGTTTTTTTCTTTTTTTTTATTATACTGTGAGAGTATGCGAGTATCTAACGAGTTCAACGCACGTGAGGCATTTCTATCTTGATAAATTATTTATTCGTTTGTATTTATTCGCGCGCAGTTAGCGACGATTTGCATTCCGCGTCCATGAATTAATAACAAACGTCCTTTAAATTATAATCATATATACCGTTTGCATATACATTCATCTAATTTTTATACTCGATTCGATCCGATTCTTCTGTGTTCTGGATTATTGTAATTTAGGTGCTTTCGTAAAAACCAAGAAGCGATTTATATATATAATAAAATATGTATAAATATTTAAATATATATAATAATATATATATAATATAATAATAAATAAAAATATATAATATATATAATAATATATATAAAAATATATATAATAATATATATAAAATATATATATATATATATCGAATTAAAATTGGAGACAAGTTTTGTATTTTTTTCTATGACGTATAATATTATGAATTTTGTACATACTTCAAAAATTTGATTAACCATTCGTGCGAGTTGTAATGCGTTCTTAAAAATGTTGTTTGTTCGACGTTTAAATTATGTCCTTCATGAATGCGTTGTGGGCAAAAAGTGAAATATCGAACAAAGTGTATCGTTCCCACACTACGAAAAACTATTTATAGCACCTTATGACATTACTCAATTTCGTCCTCGAAAGTTTTTTTCTAAGCGTTAACCGGTTCGAAGATGTAGAATCTTTGTCCAGAAGGATCCTGTGTGGCGAAAAAAATATATATTCACCTCCTAGAATCTTCTTATAAAGAAATATGCAAATCATATGGGTTTTTATATCCTATAAAGGATCGGAGGTTTTTTCGTTTTATTATTAAATTAGTTGGAAATCTCAATCTCAATGGAAGCCGCCATGAAACAGAGAAATCGAAGAATTCGTGGTAGAATTTTTAAAAATTATTAAAATTTGTAAAACATCAAAATTTTCGATTATAAGATAATATTCAAATTTTTTTTTTCGGTGAGTAATTGTACGAATATCTTGAATAGAATAGTATATTCTCAGAATTATAATTAGATCCAAATGATTCCAAATCTATTATTCAAAATCGAAGATTGCTGGCAATGTAATTTCTTCTTTGTAAGTCATTGTAATCCTTGATAGAATTATAATTAATCTAAATTACAAATCTATCATTTTTGTTGCAGAGACAAAGATTGTTCTCCTGTTCTTTATGAGCCACTGTATACAAAAGTTTGTATTCTACAAACTTTTTAAACAGAATATCTTGGAATAATAATTAAAACAATAACTCAAAGATTGCTTGTAACACAATTTCTCTGCAACATAATGTTCAAATAGCTATTGTAATTCTTTGAACAGAATACTGTAAATGCAATAATCCAAAGTCAAAGATTATAACAC